ATACTGCCCCTGGAAACTGAGTCAATTGCCAGAACCTTTGTGCCTCCTGGAGGTTGGTATTGGTGCTGCAGCAGGAATGTGGCTCATTCCCCTGACAATCAGACCCCTTCCTGAGGCTTCTGGGAAGCCCTCAGCCTTTACCTACCCCATGAGCACACAGAGATACCTTTTCATGTTGTACATCTTAGTGGCTTCAAGAACTGTTTGCCAAGAAACAGGGACAAGAACACACACACACACACACACACACACACACACACACACACACACTTCTTATTCTAACCCTCAGTATCACACCTTTCTGAGGATTTACACTTCAGATCATCTCTCACATATATTTGTATAAGTTGCATACTGTTTCTGTGTCCCAGTTCCCAAATCTGCAGCATGTGGCTAGTCCTAAAAAGGGCCAGCTAAGGAGAGGTAGTTGGGGCCCAGCCCTGCCACATTGGTGGGGGTGACTCCAGAAGCCCAAGGCTGAGGCAGAAACTCCATAGCATGAGGCTAAGAGCAAGAGCTTTGATTTAGATACATCCAGGTCAACTCATACCCTTGCTGTTTTGTGTAATACTGGGCAAGTAATCTCCTTTTCTAAAGTTTCTGACTGGACCATTGAGAGGCTTAAATGTGTCCATGTGTAAAGAGTTTAATGTATAGTGCTCAGAATACGACAAATCTCCAATAAACTCATTTATTTCCCAGCTACCAGCACTCAGCAAGAGGCCTAACCATAGACTAAGTTTTCTGAGAGCCCCTCCCCCGCCAGGCTTAATTGAAAATTCTGGGAAAAGTCAGCAATGCAAAGTTGTATTCTCATTTCTACACCATGCTGGCCTGCAGGTGACTCTGTATGAAGCGTGTCCCTCGGGCCATCGTGATCTGGTCTCCCCACGAGACAATGTCTTCCAAGTCCTCTCGCACAACTCCTAGCACATACCTCAAGCAGCTGAACTTAATCTCAGGTCTCCAGTTTCTACCAATGCCGAGGTGTCCTGGGAAAGTCCCTTCCCCCCTCCAATTTCTTCACTTTCCTCATCCGAAAGTGGCCATCACAGTGTCTACCTCCTGGGATCATTTGGGGATGGGGAGGACAGGAAACACAGACACCTCCAGAATGCTTGACTTTGAGTCACTCCTGCACCTTCCTCCATGAAGCACACCCCCATTATGATGGAACTTTCTGGATATTTCCAGAGGTTTCCCACAAAGAATAGGTGGAAAAAGTCTCTGAGTACAGAAGCCTGATCCTGCCAGGCCAGGTTGGGAGCTAGAAGCCAATCTCGGACAGAGGATGAGAAGTGAAGGCCACACCCACACCCCAGAAAAGCGACCCTTTAGAAAACCCAGCCTCAACTCCCCCTAAGACTGACAAGAACAGTCATTTCTTTACAGGGCTCTTTCTGTAGAAAACCCTAAGAAAATGGAGGCCCCAAAGCCAAGGGTCTAATACAGTGGGATCAAGAAAACTGGTAGGCATCTAAGGAACAGACAGCTTGGTGACCTTTGCGCTCCTGGGGTGGTCTTAATGGAGCAAGGGGAAGTCACAATTTGGATTGTATTTATAGTCATTGTACTTCATAGCTTGCTGCCTGCTTTAACCTTCAAACAAGTATGCATACTCAGTAAGCACTGTTTTGTCATCCAGGGAGAGTAAAAGAACCCACCAAACAAGGATAGAAAGCACATCAGTGTTCCCTGAGGAGCCCCTAGGCATCCTTTCACCCCAAGCCACTCTCTGGGAACACATCTCTTACCTCACCTCCTGCCCTACCCGGCCTTTCAAGGGCTCTGAGTGCCAGGAGGATTTTCTCACTCTCCACTGCAATTCCCAGCACTGTTCTTGTAGGGTTGAGATGAGGGATCAGCGCACACCACAACCTGCAGCCAACCCCTCAGACTGTTGACTCTAGAAACCGCAGGGCCTCCAAAGGCCATCGCAGACTTCACACACATTGGCGGGAGCTGGTGTCATTCTCCAAGAATGATGTTTATTCTCTGCAGGTGTGTGGAAGACCTTGGAGTCTGCAAGCCTGTCTGTAATCCTGCTACTCCCACGGGGGCAGTTGCCAGTGTTGACCTTTGATATAGCAGATATCCTGCCAGAGAATCTCCAAGGACAGACACTTACGGGAAGCCTTCCCTCTTAACTCTCCCCCTCTTCCCAGAAGAGAGAGATGGAGAGTTTTCTGTTTTGTTTCGTAGTATTGTGCCGGGGGCATCACACAGGGTGTCCTGCATGCTAGGCCGCCCTGTTCCACTAAGCCACAGTCACTTCCCTAAACCTAGAACTAAACTGAACTTTGAAGCTGCTAATTAGCTCAGAACCGTGTGTCATAAAGGCCGCTGGTGTTTTTCCCAAGACAGTATAATGTGCATAGTTTTGCCAGCTACGCCTGGTTGTAACATCCATCACTGATTCAATTTTGAATATGGAAGTCTTGCTTGAGAGTGTCCCCAGACTGCACCCTGCCCCCACCAACATACACACATTGATGCTGGAGGTGGAGGACAGCACTGGAGGAGGAGCACAGCACTGGAGGTGGAGGACAGCACTGGAGGAGGAACACAGCGCTGGAGGTGGGGGACAGCACTGGGGGTGGAGGACAGCACTGGGGGTGGAGGACAGCACTGGAGGTGAAGCACAGCACTTTAGGGGGATCACAGCACTGGAGGTGGGGGACAGCATTGGAGGTGGAGCACAGCACTGTAGGGGGAGCACAGCATTGATGCTGCAGGTGGGGGTAGCATACACTGACTTTTCCTGCCCATCCATATCTACCATAGCTTTTCACTCATAGTGAGGCAGGGAAGCAAGGACCATAGTGACTCCCAAGGAGCAGATGTTTCACTTTCTGGCTGCTAACTTCTAGACTGTCTCTTTTTATGTCTTTAGACCACAGCTGACCACAGGTCACTGAAGCCAAGGGAGGTCTAAAGCTGTGGATGTGGTGATGGACAAGTGACTTCAAGTCAAGTACAGATGGGTGGCCTCTGCTCCTAAAGTCCTGTGAAGTCTGCAATGTTCTCTTCTGCTGTGGTCCCCAAATGCTTTCCAGGCAGCTGGGCACTAACTGAATTTCCAGAGTGCCCACTGCAGCCAAGTCCTTTTAATGTATCACTGACCCCTAGGTTCTTTCCCGGGAATCAAGGGAGCAGAGTGAGCTGTGAGCTTTAGGGTTCTCCCTGAGGCCTAGAGCACAAGCTCTTCCCTGGACACAGTTCTTTTCTTGTGACTGTGGTTTGAACAAGAAATAGCAGCCATTGGCATTTTCTTAGGGCTGGGAGTCCTTTCAATCCACCCTCAACTGGGATAGCTGTCGTGTCTCTGGATCCTTTCGGTGTTGTGGGCACACTGGGGACATAGCATAAATATTAATTACTGCTGGTACATTACCAACAGAAAATGGAAAGACCCCTATAAGGCAGCAGTGACCCTAGAAGGCCCAGAAGCTATGCTGGATATGTGACAAGGACAGATAGTGACAAGACATTAAAAAGCAGCTGTCTTCCCACACTTAGCACTTGCAATAAACCAAGGGTGCCATTGTCTGAGCTGTCACTGACGCTGGGGGAAAGCAGGGGGATGGGGTGAGGGTAGGCGTCCCTGCCTTCCATATGGGTTCTGAGAAAGCTGGTCTCTGGCGGGAACCTCCTTTTCTATGGGTAGGCTGCACCAACCATGGTCTTTGAGCTGCACACAGATTCTGGGGCTGTCCCAAGCTTCTGGGTGTGGCCTTTGAGTGCAGGGTCCTTGGGGAAGGACCAGCTACTGATAGTGAGTGACAGGATCTGAAGTCAGTAGCTTGGGGTAAGTAGCAGGGCTTGGTGACCAGTAACCCCCATCCTCTAGAAACCGAGGTGATGGGGTCAGAAAGATATCTCAGTGCCTGTAGTCTCCAAGGCTACTTGTAAACCTGTTTCTGTAGCAACCATGTCCAGCTGTGTCCTCAGCCCCACCTACTGTGCTAGGGGCAAGAGGTAATGCAGGAGGACTCTGGCTCCTTCTTTAAAAGTTGTCACTGCGTATCTTCCCTCCTACGTGGGTGTAAACTTACCTTTCCTATTCCCTTCCTTTCAATGTGTGAAAAATCCACAGTCAGTACGGGGAGGAGGGGGCTGGCAAGGAGAAGAGTGTGTGTGGTAACTGGAGACTGAAACCACTGTGGTTCCTGTCTTATTTGTTGCTGCATTGTGTGTTTTTGCTTGGGAGCTCCCCCGACCCCGGCCACTTTCTTTCAAACAGGGCTATTTGCTCTGATGCTACCCATGGGGCATCTCTCTGGTTCCCTCACATAATGATTGTAGTATCCAGACCAGGGCTGGTATCTACTGTGTCTTCTGTTAACTAAAAGAGAACTTGAGTTGGGTTCTTCTTGCTTTCTCGTTCCAAGGAATGCACTTTCTCAGCAACTGACTGGGAGGCCTGGTGCATGGGATACAGCCCCAGGCTGGCTGCAGATGGAGTTGCTGACAGAGCTCAAGCTGAGACTGCTCCGAGCTGTGTCAGTCAGCTGTCCGTCACTGTGAGAAATACCCACAGTAAATAGACTCTTAAGTAAGAAAGCCTTATTTTGGGTCATGGGGTCACAAGTTTTAGTTGCTGGTTCCCTGGCACTGGTTGCTTTCTTTCAGTCTAGGGCCGGCATGACCAAGAAAGACACCTGAGGTTGGCCTGTGGTTTCCAGTCACACAAGAACATACATGTGCACACAGATACTAGACATGCACAGACCTCTGAGGGAGCACATAAAATAATGAAGGAGATGGGCTGTATGTGCAAATCAGTAAAGTGGAGAAATGCTGTCAGGACACACTGTGTGTGTGTGTGTGTGTGTGTGTGTGTGTGTGTGTGTGTGTGTGTTTCCAAGACGTTGTCATCCAAGGCCAATCACACTTTATAATCAGGGAAGGGTAGAATTTAGACTCAGGAAGGAGAAGAAAGGCCACAGCAGGCTCAGGAGGAAGCACCATCACAAAAGAGGCATGAGCTAAAACCGAAGGAGGTTTTAGAAAATATAATTTAATCAGGTGGTACGGGAGGAAGCTAGGGTCAAAAACTAGTGCTAAAAAAGTCAGTAGTCTGGACAACCTGAGCAATATATGATGTCACTAATCACCTGGCTTGTCCTCCAGCTTTCCAACACATGACTCCTTTGAACACTAGAACTCTCCCTTCCTCCTCCATGAAGGCTTTCTCACCTCCCAGAAAATGGACAGGCTGGGAGTTTCATTCGGTAGTAGAGCACTTGCTCCAAACACTCAAGGCCCTGGGTTCAATTTCCAGCATGCAAGCACACACACACACACACACACACACACACACACACACACACGCGCTTCCCTTGAGTCCTGAGAACAATTCCAATGCCTCCTTCATAGAGAGGCTTATAGAAGCTTAACTGTGTGTTTTGACTCTCACTCCCATTAGTCATCTGAGACCTTGTCACAGGAAACAGTTTTGGCTCCTTCTGTGCCAAGGTGGTGTACATAACCTGTGTGCTCAGCTAACACTGGCTTCCCCTGTGGCGGGGGGAACAGGCTCTTCCCAGCTGTCTCATGCACACATCCTTCAGGTAATCTGACATTTTAGCTCCTAGGCAGGTATAGACATAAATAAGTGAAATTAAAGCAGTCTATGAAGAAACAGGTCCCAGTCACCAAGCAGTGGTGTCAGGCAGCTGATCCATCAAGGAAATGGTTTCACCTTGAACTTGACATGCCCTTATAATGCTAGTTAGTTCATTCCAGGGTCCCCAGGACTTTCCCTCACCAATTCACAAACTTCCATCACTGATTCCCAGAAGAATTCCACTCTTCTGGTCATAAATCAAATACCAGAGAGTCCCTGCAAAGGTCTATTTAAGTCACTAACCTTCCAAGAGTGGCTGTTGGGAGAGGGATTGAAGATCAAGGACTACATAAGTATTGTTTTGGAGTAAGAAGTAAGGTGGCAGAGCTGGGCACAGTAGCACCTGTCTGAGTCCCAGCTGCTCCGAAGGTAGAGGAAGGGGGATTGCTTGAGCCGGGGGAGGGGGTAGAGACCAGACTGGGTAATACAGAATGGCCTGCTCCCTTTCCCATCGCAAATGAAAAGCTGTGTGAGCAGAGCTGGGGCTGTAGCTCACGGCAGGGCACCTGCCCAGTGTGCACAAGGCCCTGGCTTCACTCTTCAGCACAGCCAAATAAAATGTAAAGTCTTTAAAGAAACAAAGACCAGAAGTGAATTCCATCCCCTGTGTGTTTGCTGTGCTCCAAGCCTTTTCAAAGCTTTGTGGATAGTGTTGAAGATGATCCAAAGATTACACATGGCATCAGCCTCGCAGCGAGGGCCCAGGGGCTTTGGCACTGTGACAGAAGGGAGGAGTCTAGAAAGAAAGGGGCAGGTGTTAACCATCAGGGCTTGACATCAGGACTAGATACATAGCCGTGAACTGGAAGGTTGTCGTCATACCCATATTTGTGGCCGTGTTCATGGCAGCCATTGGCACTTTGAGCCTGTGCCCAGGTGATGCCTAATGCATGATGGACTCATATAGAATAGAAACACTTAAGGAAAAAAAATAATAATAGAAGCTCCCAGGTGGTGTTAAATGAAGATATGGTCGGACAAGTTGGGGTGTGTGTGTGTGTGTGTGTGTGTGTGTGTGTGTGTGTGTGACTGAAATTTAATAAAATCCTCTTGTATTTTCTGATCCTCTTTCTCACTGTTTCCACCCACAGTGCCTCCCCTGCTCATTTGCAGTGGATTTCCTCCCCTCCATCCTCTGCTATAACTCTGCTCACAACGGGTGTGTGTGTGTGTGTGTGTGTGTGTGTGAATCTGATGAGTTAAACTGTTCTCCCCCAATTGCTATGTTGAAGTCTTCACCCCTGCCCCCATACCTCAATATGTGCTATTTTATGGAAAGGTGATTTCCAAGTACAAGATAGAAACAGAATGCTGCAGTTAGATCTTAGAATGTCTCAAAAGGTCTATGTGTGGAAGGTTTGTCCCCCAACCCCAACTCCACCCCATCCCCTGATCCTATTCTAAGTGCTGGAACCTTCCAGAGTTGGGCCTAATAGAAGGGAGTTAAGACATCTGGGACGGCCCTTGAAGAGGACTTTGGAAGCCCCATCTATGTGTCTCTCCTGGTTTCCTGACCACCATGGGTAAACAGGCATCCTTGTCATGTGCTCAGTCATTGTGTCTCACTCAGAGCCAAAATAAGCCTGTCCTTATTAGACGTTGATCACTGTAGGCATTTCGACATCATGACAGAAAGCTGCCTGACGCATGAGGACGAAGGTAATTAGTCAAGTACAGGAATTCTGGAGTAAGCTGGGCCTCTCACCTAATACGAGCGGTGTCTTACAAAAAAGGGGTACATCTGGTCACAGACGCCCACAGGGAGAGTCAGGGGAAGATCAGCATGGACCTGGTACAAGCCAAGGAGCCTTAAGAAGCCTGCAAGAGGCTCCAGCAGGCGCTGGGCTTTCAGGAGGAAGCCCCGCCCATTGTGTGGACCACAGGCTACCACACATATCTGCTGTTTAATCTCCTCAGTTCCTGGTACTTTGTTTTGGGCAGCTGTAACAAACCAATATGGTGCATTCTCCCCTGCTCTGTATTTACATGCAACTTCAAACCACACACCTGCCTGGCCTGTCTTGCTTAGCCAGAAGTCCCCAATACCTTAGACATCTGTGTGGTTAGTTTGCATTAGTAACCACGCTCAACTTCTGTGACATCAGTCTGTGAACCCACACACGGCTTCTCCAGGTCCTCTTTCATTTTCTTCTATCTACCCTACTGCTCAAGGGACAGACCTAGGTGACAGTTGATACCTCCTTTATAATATCTCCTCCCTCCCTGCACCGAGCATCAACTCCCAGCTTCTCTTGCTCTCATTGGAGCCTTTCCCCTCCATTTCAAACTCACCTCCACTCCCTTCCTAGATTGGACTCGCCTTGTGAAATTCTCTTTCTGCAGTGGAAATCTTACATCACTTGCCAGCTTGACATCTCCCAGAGGGTCCCCTTAGCTTCCAGCCAAATGTCAAGGCCCCAGTTTACCGACAAGAACAGTGACCTAACTCCCTTGCCATCCACCATAGGGCATCTGTCCCCATTGCTCCCGTTGTCCCCATACTGCGGCACTCAGGATCAGTTCCCAGCCTCTTTGTTCCTGAAGCCCGCTAAGCTCCAAATTTCACATGCTTGGTGGGGAGGCAGCGGCAACAGCGGGGGGTCTCTGGATTCCAGTGATTGAAATCCCCCCTCCCGCCCCGCCCCGGCCCCGCGCGCACCGCCCTGCATTTCTTTGACAGTAATTTTGCGGGATTGGGAAATGGCAAGTCTTCCTGGCCTAACACGCACTGCACTAGACCGCACAGCTCTTGAGAGTTCATGCTTCATGCTTTCTTCATGCTTTCTCCTAAGTGAGGAAGGGAAGCATGGAGAAGGCAGCTATTTTGACCAAGCTGTTTCCGAGAGTGAAAAGTCAGCCCACAGAGACCGCACTTCCTCATCGTTTTCAGCGCTGACTGTATCGTGATTGAGTCATGGAATGGAATTAAAGCAAACGCCGAGCTTTCTCCCCTCCGTCACGTTCAGCAGGGTTTGCTTTCAATACCGAATGCCCGGTGGTGGAGGCCGGCTGCTGCTGCTGCGTTGAACTCGCTCAGCCGGGTGCAGCTGAAGTCACTTCCCCTGCGGGGACAGAGCGTGCTTTAGTGGGGTGGGCGGAGTGGGGAGTGGGGGGGGGGGGCAGGATGAGTTTTACGCAGTAGACCTGAAAACCCAGCCAGCCGCGGATTGGCGCATCCCAGCTGCGGCCGCCTTAGTCATCCGAGTGGTTCTGGAACTGGGCACCAACTTGCGTGTTTGTCCCCGGCTCTTTGTGCGCCGATCAGCTGTGGCGTGGGCTCTGGCATCTAATCCAGGATTTGCCTCTGCGCGAGGCTTATGGAAAACAGATGTCTCGCCGCTCTGGGACTGAGCACAGAATGGGAGTGACCCAGAGGGGAGCTGCCTGGCACCGACGACACGGAGGGAAGGCCCCGGCAAGGCCCGCGGGGCCAGCTCTGTTCCTCGCGTCGGTTCTCTCGGCTGAGCCTGCAGCGTAGACAGAGTCCGGCGAGCCAGCGAGCGGTGTGACCTTGAGACGGCGTGGGGCGGGAGAGCGGGAGCCGGGGACTGCGGCCACCTGAGGTCGGGGCGCGAGCAGCAGCCGCGAGGGTCGCGGTAAGTGTCCCTGCGAGCGGCGGTGAGCCGGGCGAGGGCACCCGGGCTTGGGCTGCGGCTTTTCCATGCTGTCAGCCCGCCAGCACTGTTCCCTGAGTCCCGCAGACCCCCTGCCGCCCCTGACTTGCGAGGAACGCTTGCAAAGTCATTTGGCCCTGGAGAAGAAAGCAAGTCTGCAATCTTAAAGCTTGGAAGAGGCAGGCTTCCTGTCCCCCGCCTCCCCCGCCCCCCTCCAACTTGCTATTTCTTTTCCTTTCTCTTAGAAGGGACTACTCAGGTAGATTCCCTTCAGATTAGTTTCTGCACTTACCCTCTTGCCAAGCTCATGCTACACTTCTGGTTTATTAAAGGGGGGAAATGTTGCCATTTGGGGCTTTTTGATAGATGGACATTGAAAACTGCATGCTGCTGTCCAGAGGTAACGGATTGGGGGTGGGGAGGAAGCCTGTCCTAAGACATGCCTGTCAGATGCTTTAAAGCATTCTGTGACCCCCAGATCCTTCCCTACCTGTACTCCAGTCAATTCCAGGGAGCAACTGACTCCTTTTCTGCATCCCTTTCCTCTATTTAGGGCAGAGAGGATTAGATTCAAACGCTTTTGGGGATTTGGGGGGTGTATTTGTTTATTTTGAGGGGCTGGAGATCAAATGCCCCGGCTGAATAAGTGGTCTACTGCTCCAGCTCACAAATGCTTTTTAAACAGGTACATTTCAGAGCACTTGGAGTTCTGGGAGTCTAGAGACATGAGAGGTTGTTCTTGTGACAGCATGCTCATCTGTGCCCCCACCCCCCAAAAAACAGTTTGGGGCCCTTTTTTTCTTTAAGATGGAGGTTAACCTTCACATCTGTATCCTTAGAATATAGTGATAAGCTCAGTACAGCATAACTAGTATTTCCAGATTCCTTTATCGGGGGCGGGAGTTATCATGCTGGATTGTACATGACCTCTAGTCTTAGATTTCCACTTGATTTCACCCTTGGCAGAGCTCACGCCTGCCCTTCAACTCCAAAGAACAAAAGAGCAGCAATGATTCAGAGCCCACCACATCCTTGACCAAAGACATAAAGTATTTTATAGACTTTTTATGACACACATTACATTTCCATCCTGTTCAAACACAGGCTCATATAATGATTAAAGATCAATTATAAAAAGAAAGACTCTGCCTCCCTTCTGCCTTGGGTAAATATGGATTTTGATGAGATGGGCAGGGCCTTCTGCACTCAGGATAGAGTACAAAAGGTTCACACCATAGCTCACTGGCTCCCCATCAGCGCTGTCTTTTCCTAGCCGCCTCCCTTTCCTTCCCTCCCTGGTCTGCAGAATTTCACTTCACTCAGTTACCATGACCTCATTTGGGACTGTGGCGTGTGTGGTGCCATCACCTTTCATCAACATTTGTTTAGGTGAAAATGTTCCTTACCTGTATTTTCTGAGAACATTTACCCAAACCTAGCCTTTATTTTATTTTAGAAAACTCTCTATATAATAAATAGTACTGTATTTGTCAAAATGTAGCATCCATATCTGTAATTATTCTTTTATCATCATGTTACTGTGGGCTTGTATGGATTACTCTTTGGTGAGACTGTAGTTTCTATTTCATACTGAAGTAAAGTGGAAGGAATTTCTCATAGGACACTAAATATAAATGGGTTAGAAAGTATAATCATTAACGTCTCATGCTCTGACCTTTTCTTTGGTCTGCCCTTGGGTTGAATTCCATCCATTGACTCTTCAGGAAGCGGCTGATAGTCACATGCAGGTCAATAGTGGTCAGTTTATGTGCTCTTCAAGCTACAGTAATTTACTACTCTCCCAATTCTTCACTGTGAAAACCTGGCCCTTTTAGTGGAGATACCCAACTGGGTAATATTACAACTTCCAAGGAAGCTTTGGAAATGAAATCCCAGGATCCTGGACTCCTGGCACAATACCATAATATCCTCTTTTCCTCACCACTGCTGAAAATAAGCTTGTTTAGTTTATCCCATATCTGCCTTGGATAATAAACATGTAAAAGGCAGTGTTAGCTTGATCATTTCACACACTGAAAGTTTATTCTGGCAGGTTCTTCAGATATGCTTTTATATGCAGCTGCTAATGATGAAGATTGGGACAGTGATAGTGTCCTTGAGAAAAATCACTCCAGAGTGTCTCCTTCAGTGGCCTGAGAGAATTATCATGAAAGCCTGGAGGCAAAGATTGAGGCCTTATCAGACTGTCACCAAAGTTGGCTCCTGGCATCCTTGGCTCCCAAAGCTAAGGTTCAATCAACTGCAGATGTCACCTTGTTGCTGACATTCATTATTCAGTGAGGCCTGTCATGGTAGCAAGTCCTTACTAAACAAAAATCCCCCTTTTTGTGTGGCCATTACTCCCTAAACAAGAAATACAGCAGAACAGTAATTCAAAACTGCATAGGTATTACACGTGATTTGAGATGACAAAATGCACAGGGAATAGGTATAGGTTATGTGCAAATTGTGTGTGGTTTTGGAGAAGGGACTGACTTACCTGCAGAGGTTAGTGTCCACAGGGGTGAGGATGCCCTTGAACCAACCCCTTCAGATGCTAAGAAACTACTCTATTTCTTATAGTCTCACATATTAGCCTTTAAGACTGAATGGCTAGTTAGCAAGTCTTTTAAGAAAAACATCCCCACAAGTTATCTGTGAGTTCAATGCATTGTTTTCTCTGGAAAAAGAAATATTAAGTCTCATCATATAGAGAGTGTTTGATCTTTGGTCAAAAGAACTGACAACTGCAACTTTTAACATAAATAGAAAATTAAGGGATTCCCTTAATTTTCATTAAACCAATGTTTACTTCCTGTTTGGCTTTTATGTCATTTGTGGGGTTTGATAAAAGTTGAACCTCAGAATTAGTGCTTATGTTGGCACATATTAAATCTTCTCTACAATGGTTACTTCCTACATTAAACTCTGATTTTTGTTGTCTATCCTGCCATTGACTCTCAACTTAATGATAGAACAGAAATATCCTCTCTCTAGAATTTTCACTATTTCCATTTTGCCTAACATACTGCATGTTTACATGAAACTTATTTATGCAGAATAGTTGACCCTGGGAGATTAGAATGTTCCTTGGGTCTGCAGATGTAGAGGGCACAGGTTGCCTCCTGGCATGCACAAAAAGCCCTGGGTTTCATCCCTAGCACCACAAGAAAAAAAATGCCTTTCTTGTGTCCTTGAATCAAACAAAATCAGTGTATCTGTCAGCATTGCTATCAACCTATGGTGGATTAGAAATGTGCCAAGGGAAACTGCTGATGCAGGCTTCCTTCTGCTTAACTGTAGCATATGAATCCACCCGAGACATCCCAGCTTCATGATCTAGCTTCCAGAAGCAGTTTGCAGAGGATGCTAAAAACAGTTGGAACTGGAGTACTGGGAAGTAATTGGCTTTTTAAATCACTGTCTTCAGTGTGTAAATGTCTTCCAGGTTTCAGAACGTCTGCTCTTCCTGGGATATCCCTTTCTTCCCTTTAAATGCACCCATTAATTTAAACTAAAGTATCAAGAGAAGCATAAAATCGTTCTTAACTGTTTATCTCCCTTTTGGATCTGGACCAACACTGTGGAACTCTGTGTTGTTTTTCAGAATGGCGACTTTGAGGTCCACAAATATGGCAAGTTTCAGATTTGGGCTTCTGTTAAGCAGTCCGACGTGAGGCCAAAGAGCGGTGGGGAAGCGAGAACAGACCTTTGTGCTTTTTTTTTTATCAACAGCATATTTATTTCTCATAATCTGGAGGCTGGGAAGTCCAAGATAAGGCACCAGTAGATTCTGTAGTGTCAGGGTTTTGGTGAGTACCTTCTTTTCATAGATATGTGCCTTCTTGTGGCTTCCTTGGTGTGGAAAGGGCCAGGCAGCTTGCTAGGTCCTCCTTTATAAGCACAATAATCCCATCACGAAATTACTTTATTGGCTTCTTCAGTTTCCCAAGGTCCCACCTCCTGTACTATTAATTACATTGAGGATTAGGTTTTAATATGAATATTTTTGGAAGTTTTAATTTTGCATTTTTATTTTTAAAATAAAAAAATTACTTACTATGTGTATGGCAGGGAAGGTGATGCCATCCATGATGCATGTGTGGAGGTGGAGGACAACTTTTGGGAATCAGGTCTCTCTGTTCACAGTGAGGATCCTGGGAGATCAAACTCAGGTTCTCAGGCTTGGTAACAGGCTGGAACGAACTTTTGTTTGGTTTTTGGCTCAGGGCCTCACACATGCTAACAATGAATTCTACTTCAAGCTCCTATAAGTGTTCTTTTATATTGTTCTGCCTTGTCTGATAGAAGGAAGGAAAGGTGCCTTTCGAAACTCTACTCTAGTCTGTCAGCCAAAGAGATTTACGGAGAAAATATCACATTTCGAGGCCCTGCCT